TTTTTTTTTTTTTTTTTTTTTTTTTTTTTTTTTTTTTTTTTTTTTTTTTTTTTTTTTTTTTTTTTGGCAATTCCCTGACCTATTGTCCCCGCTATCCATAAGATACTTACGTGTAATCCTTAAGAAGTGAGATTTATCACCGTGTCTTTGAAGTACAAAGGATCACAAGCCTCTTTCCTGATGGCTAAGATATATTTTTGAAGTCAGTGCACAATTTTTAAGTGTTTCTTTTCTTGTTCACATACCACCAATGTCATTGCACTCTGCACACAATAACTCACCATCTGTAGGATGGGAGCACAAGGCAAGGGACATCTTTAGGCTTTACTTTGTGATTTGCCTGAGCTGTTGCTTGTGAGCTCTCAGTGTGCTGTGAATTAAATAACTCTGTGCTCTGTCTGACATCTCAGGCATCATCCGCGTCTCTGGCAATTGCTGACTTTTTTAAAAAGTAATTTCTGCATTAGAAAATCAGATGTCTTTTCTAGAGTGACCAGAAAATTCACATCATACCAACACTGCAATATCTCCAAAGCATTTCTTGGTGCAAGATCACTTGCAGAAAGGCTTGCACAGATAATACAGAGCTCAGCGAGACTTTCTGCCTGCGTGGAATTATCTGGCAATATCGGTTTTCCAGGAAACTGATTCAAGAGATGGGAAGTACAACGAAAGAAAATGTTTTTTGGGATGTGATAAACTTTGGGCAAGAACTGAAGGAAGGAGTTTGTCTTATCTGTTTGTTTGCCTCATCTGGAAGAGACTGTTCCCATCCTAGAGGAGCTGACGTGTTGATTAAAGCACAGAAGAACACTCTTGCCAAAAATGCTGCTACACCAACCTGATGGGGACAACTCAATGTACCAGCTTCCCACTAGCACTATGGAAGTTGGAAAAGAAAGGGAACAGCAACAGCCCCAGGCAAATAAAAGGTTTCTGGGTGTTTGTTCTCCACAAACCAGTGACAGCTTCAGCTTTTCAAAAATGGGAAAATATGGTTTTACCAGTCCCACTTTCTCTAGAGATTGTGAGAGGAATCCAAGCCTCCTGCTGCTGCTCTTGCTAGTGGAAGATACAAGGGAAGAAAATTAGTAAAATGGGCATCCAGAGTGACGTTTTGGAAATCACTCTTCTTATGTTGTCTGATTGCTGAATTCTTCTGGCCTCTCTGCAGCTGTAGTTCTGTATAAAAGCTGCTAAGCTGCAGTGTTATGAGCAAAGGTTTAACAAATAATAGCCTGGGATCTATTTATTTCCATCTGCAAATTTATACATCTTTCTATTCAAATTTGCATAATGAAAAGTATCTTAGAATCCAGATGCTCATGGGCTTGGGAGGGACGAATTTTGATGCCTCGGGTACAGACCTGACCTGCTGTGCTGGGAAGTCAATGAAGTGTTTTCCCTCCCTAAAGTGAACTCTGTCCCAGCATTTCAGTGTTTTTCTGTTCTTGTCAAACAAAAGTCCACATTTCGTTATTTGAGGACTTTCCTTCAGCAATCACCGCTTCTCTGAAAGGTCTGAGCAAACAATCTGTGATCCAGCAGTGACGAGAACGGCACATAGGAAGGCATTTCCAGTCCCAAGCTTGTAAACAATCACAATCTCACATTCCCCAGGAACAACACAATTGCCAGCTGAAGTGGAACCTCAGTCTTGGCCAGGATCATTGATCACAGTATAAGGAAAAAAGGCATGTTGGTAAAATTTAATAATATTTCCACCACACCCACTCACGCAGTACAGATCTTCAACTATTAGTAATCTCATTTTCTTAGATCCCAAACCTGCATCTTTCAGAGTGGAAATGTATCAGTATAAAGATTTCACATAACTTCTTAATGTAATGATGAAAACGTTCTTGTCCTTTTCCTCAGTGGCCAAAGTTTACAATGATTCACTCCACATTTAATGAAGTCCAACACTTACCACATCAAAAAGTTAGTTAATATTACAATGGAAACTTCATTTTTACGTAGTCCCATTGTAGCAGAATGTCAGCACCAGCATTTTCAGACTGACATACTCTGGAGGCAAGAGCTCTTTGGATTTGCTCTTGTTGACTTTCAGCTACAGGGTTTTTTTTCTTCATTCACTTTTACAAACTCTATCAGGGTGCAAGATCATGTCAGTCTTTGCTGATGTCACAAACTCCCACTCCAGGTTATGGTTCAGACATTTGGCACACCTACCCTTCTTTTATCCCTTTTTTGAGTCCTTTACCTTCCAGTTTGCTAAACCTACAGCCTTTCACCCCAGGGATCACAGCAAGTATTCTCATGACCACAGCAGCTCAGAGTGGTTGAACAAAAATGGTCCTTGAGCAGAATCTGGTTGCAGCATGAGGATCACGGCATGGAAAGTTTGGGAATCAGTGTTCCCAAACAGCTCGTGAAACAGCAGACTTAGACCATTTCATTCTCTTTGCATTTTTCCAGTTAATACATGAAAGAGGATTTTGTAACCTCCCTGGTAGGTCATTAAGCTTTGTAAAACTCCAGTCGTGGGACACAAGTCAGAAGTTGTTTCAGATAGAGTTTTTGATAAATTAGTTCATATGTTTGCACAGCTTTTTCTAAAAACACTTTGGTAGCTGTTCCAGCCCATATTTTATTATCACTCTGTTACCCCAAGCCCCCTGTTCTTTTTGTATCTTTTTATCAGTAAGATGGAACAATATCACATTCTGATTTTGTAACATGCTGTATATTCTGTTATTAGAGGAGCTGTTCCTCGTTTGAATTCCCTCAGCCAGAAAATATTATTTGTTCAACAAAGTAATGAATTTTGGTATAATAAACCAGCATTTGCTCATCATTTTACTGATGGCTGGTGTTACCAACACGATAGAAAACAACTGCACGCGGAAAATACAAGCAAGCCTCGAGTTGCTTAAAACAACTATCCTGGCATCAGAAAATGAGTGGAGCTTTTAAAAAAAAAATCCCATTCTTTACGTGGAGCTGTACGACAGGGCCCTCTGCCGTGCGAGCCCTGGTAGGAATGGCAAAAACAGCCGGCTGGAAAACGCTGCTCCTGTTAAGTGCTCGCGGTGGAAACTGGTTGGGCTTTCACGGGGGTTTAAAGACCTTTCTCGGAGCAAGAGGCAAGTGCTCATTGTTTACCACTCGCTCCGGGCTCCTGGGAAGGTCAGACAGATCCCCTAACCCTGTCAGGTGGCAAAGCCATCTGGCTCGATCAGGGGCTGATCTGATTTCTGTTTCATAAACTGAACTCCTCAGTCACTTGAAAGAGAGACAATGGCCTTTTCAATGACCTGAGCTCTTTCACCCTTTGTTGCTCTGTTTAAATAATATATGTCTCTTTGGTCCTTTGGCAAGAATGCTTGACCTTGTAAATGTGGCCATTCACGGTGCTCTGTGGTGCTGGAATGTGCTTTCATAATGCTCGAAGGCTTCTTTATATTATCTAAGGCAAATGTTTGTTTATGAAAGTTGAAGTAAAACATTCACATGATCAAAAGAAAAATGAACAGGCACCTGGAATGCAAAGGAAAAAGATCCCTCCTAAGAGGGAACTTCTCTTGTTTCAGCTACTGTTCTGAGTCCAGTTAGGAGAGATGAAAACATTCCTCTCACTTAACTCTGAAATTAGAAAAGGAACAGGAACCATTAAAAAATAAAATAAAATCACAATTAATATCCTGACTAATTTGCTCTCCTGTATTTGTGAACTGCTGATACACTGCTGCCAACAGTTATATTAGCCCACTATAACAGTGCAGAAGGGACTCTGGTGACCTTTCCTTGTGCCCTTGTGCTTCCTGTGATGGGGAGAACTGTTCCACAGAGAAACTTAAGTCAAAGTCCTTCTAATTTGGTACCCAAGTGGAACTGAGATGCTGAAATGTATTTTGAGGCTTTCTTTTTTATCAAAACTATCAAATTAACAGAAGTTGGGTAGCTAAGAAGGGGGATAAAACCAATAAACCAGCAAGATCTGGTTTGCTTTGGCCACTTAAGCTGTGAGCGTAGGAAATTCAGCAGAATGTGACGTTTAAATCATTGTCAGCCATCAGAAGGAAAGAGCTTTTGTGAATTAAATGACAAACATCTGCTGGCTGATATTCTAGAACACAGTGAACCCTTCAGACCTGCTATTGTCCTTGTAAGTCAGGAGGTGGATTTTAGAGATGTTTTGGAGAAGAAGGTTGGGATTTCTACCTTGGAAGGAGAAAGAAAGCAGCATTAAACATATCTTGTGACTGTTCTGTCAAAAAACATCACTTCAGGAAATTGAGCTGCTTTTTGTAACCACGAAGCCTGATGTATCTGCTGCTAAGGAGGGAAGTACAGGCAGACTTACCCACCCCCTCAGGAGTTTCTGTGGATCTCAGGGCGTTTTGTAAGTGGGGATGTCAGAAGCCAAACTGTGGTCTTAAGATCACAACTATCTAATGGGAACATAATGAATAGTCTCTGGCTCATCTGTAGAGTCACATTGCCTCTTGTTTTTATTCAAAATTCCAATTATGGTAACAGTGATGGTGGTTTCTGCAAGAAATGTCCGGGGCTGACTGTTGGCCAACAACCTACTTCTCTAAAGCCTCGTGCCTGAAGTTTGTCCCTCAGCATTTCTGGAGACAAGTGGAATGCTCTGGTAGAACTTCATAGCGTATTTCAGGCCTGCTAATTCATTTTATTCTCTGGAGACATTCATAAGGTATGGCTTAGTCCTACGATTGCTTCATTTTATGATATAATTTAGGCACTTGGAGGAAGTTTTTGAAAGTAAATAGGCAAATCAAAGTCTTTGGAACCTTCAGAAGAGCCAAGAAGCTGCAACAAAACAGTTTTCTGCAGCACAGATTTCTTAAAACCTGTCTAGATGGATATCCTAAGCCTTTAGATGCCTAAATGTTTGTTTGTTTTAAATAATTCCCCAGTTCTGTTTGTTTGTGGTTTGTTGTTTTGTTGGGGTTTCTGTTTGTTGCAAATGTCCTTCATTTGATTGAGGAAAAAAAAAATAAAAGCATGCAGAAGTAACATCTAAAAGTTCCCACCCCTCACTAGATTACTATTAATTTTTAAGTAGGACTATTTAATTGCATCTCCACCAATTTACATCAGTTATTTGGCCGCAGCAATCAAACAGCTCCTAAAGCAATTTGAAGTATTACACTCTTGTAAGGCCGCATTTGTTTTGCAACGTTTTCTTTATAAACTAACACGCATTAGTTTGGAACATTATCCCCATCAGCCTTGGGGACTGTTGAAAAGCAGCAGCTCTATGAAAGATTGAATTTCAGCGTTTCAGGTCCTATTATGCCGGGTAATTAAACGAGAGCCTCCGCTAATTGTGCCGCATCAAAGCCCGACAATGCCTGGGAAGAAAGCGGCGCGTTCCATTCATTAAGCAAGGATAAATGCGCTCGTCGTGACCGAATGATCCCCCGCGATCGCGGAGCGGGACGCGGAGATTCCAAGAGCGCTCCCGGGGGGGCACCGCGCGCTCCTCGGCACCAGGGGGCGCTGCGGGCACTGCGAACCCATCCCGGGAACATCATCCCGGGAAACCCATCCCGGCATCCCAAACCTCGGGATACAGCACCTCCAGAGCGACCCCGCGCCCCAATCCGCCTTCAGAGCCGCTGGCCGACGGCTCTGCCCCGGTCGCTGCCCGAGAATCGACCGCGCCAGCACCGCCACAGCACGCCGGGGATGCTGGAACGCCACTTGAGGGGAACCGGTAATTGTCACCCCGCGTTCAAAGCAAGGGCTGAACTCCAGCTCAGTGTCACCAGGGTTCACCTGGATTAGCAATTTAGCCACTTGGAAGTGGATATCCTTTCTCGGGATGCAGCCCGCAGCAGATCTGACTTGAATATTTCAAAGTAATTCCAGCAGGAAAGTGACAAACACCTTTGCAATATTAGACAGGATTTTTGTTTCTTGAGTGAGTCAGTACACGTGAAAACAATTAATTGTCTTAAAACTGAAACCAGGACGCTGATTCACACTGCAGGAAACATTCTGCATTGTTTCATACTTAAACCCCCATCTCTCTTGGGGATGGTCGTGAGCATGGCCAGCAGTTGGACTCAGTGATCCTTGTGGGTCCCTTCCAACTTGGCATGTTCTGTGATGCTGTGATTTACTTTACTTTATGCAAATAAATATAAGAGAATGACTAAGAGGGATCAGAAATACTCGTGGATGAATTGTTCCAGAGGTTATTCATGTACGTAAATGCTACAAGATATACACATGGAAAATGCTATATAAGACACAGACATTACTGGTTTATAGATTTCCATTGCAATGGAATCTACAGCTCATAATTAGTCCAGCATGGCCCTTCCCAAGACTATGTAGTCCCAGGTTCTAATACTTGGATAAAACAAAAAAAGCAAAGAGAAGAATCATTAAAAATACTGCCAGGGATTTCAGTAAGTATTTGCTGTATAAAAACAAATACTTGGTCTTGGCTTTGTTCAAATTCTGCCACATTTTCTGTCCTGGCTGAGGAGAAAGATCCAACTCTTCAAAAATTCCAGATACTGAAAATTTTGGAAGAGCTTTTGCATGCACATAATTTTTTTTATGTAAGTGCAGAAATTAAATTTGCCTCTAGCTAAAGGCATGGCTTTTCTACACAGCTGATGTGTGAGGTGAAGCCTTTGCAACCAGAAGTTCAAGTGCTGAAAAGATTCACAGATCCAGATATGCTTTGTATCAAATGCCCCATTTTAAATGTCCTTTACCTTGTTGTTGCTTTCCTGGATGTGGTTCCAAGAAGCTTCTCATTGATAAACTTGGCAAATGGTGGAGTTAAAGGGAAGATACTTCTACACTTACTTTCCTAAACTTACTGTGAATAGAATCAGACAATAAATACCTAAAACTGTGTTAACCACGTGGCATTTTGTCTCCATTGCTAACAAAATTGACCTCAAATGGTGGGACAGAAGTCCACGTATTTAATCCCTTTGATATCAGTGATTGAATATTTACTTTGATGGGAATATTTAATTTGATCCATGCAACAGATACATATTGTGTACTAGGAAAGCTCACAGCCAGGGGAGCTGGTTCCTTTTGCAAATAACAGTATCTTGGGATCCCAAGTCCCTGCTAAAAACATTTGTCAACCAAAGAGATGACAATGCCAGGCACCGTGGTAGAAAAACACATTTCAGATGTGCTGAATATAAAGGCAGGCCATGCTGTCTGCATTCAGCACGAATGACTAACTGTGAGAGATCCAAGTTATATCTCTATTACAAGGATAGATGCTGACACTGAAGCATAATAAAATCATTTTAAATGGCAATACTCCTAACTGCAAAACAAAGCATAGGAGACAGAAGAGAGATGATAATGCACCCAGGTACAAGGATGAGATAAAACTGAACGCTGAACATTTTTTCTTTCTATTCCTTTATGTGCCTTCAGATCTCTGGCAGAATTTGGAGTGCACCCCTCTCTCTGCCTTTCCTTCTGCTGGAGCCCTGTACATGGGACAATACAGAATGCAATTACAGGATGGCCACTCGCAGTGAACAGGCCACAGTCACATTCCAAGGACTTAACATTCTACATTTAAAGAGAAGGTGTTATGGAAAGTATAATTCTGAATAAAAATGAGTGAGCAGAGGGTCACACATAAAATGGGAGTGCTATTTATTCACTTAGTCCTAATGATTTAAAGAATGGTTGCATATATGAAGCTCTTTCCTCTCCCAGTCCATACACAAACCTTGTGGTGTCATTAGCCCATTAGACACATAAGGGCACTGAGGGAGTGTAGGTGACTGGTCTGAGGTCACACTGAAAGGCAGAGCTGTTTGTATGATGTAGTGCCCTGACAACAATACAAGGCAAACTAAAACTGAGAAGGAGTTCAATGTGCCTGTGAGTAAAAGGCACAGTCAGTGCTAAACGATCACATCCAAACCCACTCACATGTACTGAGGGCAAGCCTTGAGCTTGGCTCAATTGCAGAGTAGTGGCCAAAGATTACTTTAAGTTACATAACGATTAAAATCAAGGTTACAGACTGCAGTGTCTGTTATACTCGAGTATGTCACGAGTGCTGAACTGCTGCAACATCACAATCCCAACACGTATTTTCTAAAGCCCTATCAGGTTATTCCTTCTCATACACTTTTGCATCCAGTCCAGTCTTAGGGTTGGTTGACAGGTTTTCCATTTTCTTTTGATATTGAAAATCGGCATTGCACAAAATTTTGTAATTTTTTCCCCCTCTAAACTCCCACATTTTCATGTTAAGGAAAGAGAGCAAAATCGTGTACTTTCAACTATTTTCCATTTTGTGATGAACATTATACATCCCGGGTGCAGTATGAGACAACCTGATAGCTTTTGGACAGCTGTAAGTACCTGTTGCAACGCTCAATCACCTACACAAAGCGTTACTTCTCAAAGTAAACGATCATGTTTTCACCTGAGAAATGCCGGTGAGGTCCATCTGACTCACAGAACTTCTGCATGGATGCAGTGGGTGCATCAACAGAATACAAACTGTATCAAGCACCTCAGTGCCAGGCTTAGCACTGGGCCAGACTTCAAAACTTAAACTCCTGAGATTCTTGCAGAACTACACTAAAAGTATCCCTTGATGAAATATTTACTGCAAGTCAACCCCCCCCCCCCAAAACTGTGACAAAATCTATGGAAAACGAAGTTCAAAATTGAGTTCATGCTATTCATTCGCTACATTCAAGACAAATGCCTTGAAACATCATTTCTAACACGTGCTGCAGCCTAGGGTTAAACTAGGGGTAAAAATCACTGGAAGCAAAAATCTCTTACCAATCCCCTAATCACTTGAGTAACCCTTTGACAAGGTAAGACCTGGACTTGGGGATGAAATTTCCATGAACTTCAGTGTGAACAGAATCAAACTCTCAGGACCAAATTCATCTTCATGCATGTTCTGTATTTTCTGCAAACTAACCTGAAAGTCAGCTGGACAATCTGAGGAGCAGCATAATAATCACCATGAATAAAATGTCAGAATCTAACTTTAAACCTACAAAC